TACACAATCAATGTCCATGGAAGCAGCAGTCAAGAAATCAAGTGGCATATTGCGATGCGCAAATTCTGTGCAAAGGACCTCCTTAAAGGGCTGAAAAGCAAAGATGTCACTTTGAAGGCTAAAATGTGTCTGACCCAAGCAATGATATTTTCACTCACCTCCAATTCATGTGAAAGCTGGACAATGAATAAGGAAGAACCAAGAAAAATTGATGCCTTTGAATGATGGTGATAATCAAGAATATGGAATGCACCATGCACTGGCAAAATGAACAGACTTCTTTCAAAATGTCTTGAAAGAAGTATGCCGGAATGCTTCTTGGAAGCTAGGGTGGTGAGACTTCATATCCTGTACTTTGGGGCATGTTATCAGGAGCGAACACTTCCTGTAGAAAGACATCATGCTTGCTATTTTAGAGAGTCAGTGATAGTTGGGTTTTGTGTCAACTTGGCTAGGCCAGGATTCTTAGTGGGTCGGCAGTTGAGGCCTGGGAAACCTGAATGGTGTGACAATAATGTAATCGACCCAATGATGGGATCTGCTGCGAGGTATCAAGGGTTGTAAGAAGATGAGAGTGACAGGTACCCACTTACTCAGGCCACAGCCCCAATCCAATTAAAAGGAAGTTTCTTTGGAGTTGTGGCCTATTCCTGTATATAAGGAGACACTGTGGAAAAGCTTGCTTATTTTTTGGCGGAGTCTGTTTTTGTAGGCATCTGATTAAACTCTTGTTCTCTGGACTGCAGCCAACAGTCTGCCATATTGCCTACTGATCCCTGCGGATTTGGATACATTTGTCTCTCTAGTCACAAGCCTGACCTGCTAACTTTGCATCCATCTACCTCGACAGCCGGGGATGTTCCTGATGCTCGTCAGCCTCAAAGGGATGAGAATCAGTAGAAGCCTCCAACTTAACAAGTGACCCACAAACTTGAAACCAGATTAACCACTTTTACAATTGTGTGAAATATCTTCTGGAAATCAAATCCTCTCTTCCTCTATGTTTCTACCTATGTATAATATATGCCTATACATGTTACCTATCTTATCTATCCATCCATCCGTCCATATTTCTATCCATCACTCGTTATTCTTCTCCAGAGAACTCACTGTAATCCAATGAACAAGAAGAGGGAGACCTTCAATGAGATGGACGACACAGCAGCTGCCCCAGTGGGCTCCCACAGAAGTGACAGTGTTAATGACACAGAACCCAGCAGTTCTAGTCAGAACCAACTTGACGGCACTGAACAACAACCAGGAATACCTGCAGTCGTGCCAGATTCTGGAAATATGTAAGACTCTATACTGTTATTGAAAAATCTTGTAAGAGAGAAGTTAAAGGTCCAGTGGGTTGTTTTCAGTATTTTCTTGGATGTGAAACTCTGAAAGGAAGGACGATTTCAATTGATCACACAAACTCCTTACAGGAACAACATTTGAACAGCTCACCCACACTGGAACAGCCTTCCCAGACAATTCAAAAGACCCTCCACACAACACTCTCTGAGAAGTGAGATTCCAGATCATGGTATCACTTCACAGGACAACCTTCTGGATAAACTAAACCTATTACAAGAAAAATGGAGATCTAATGAAGAAAAGAGAATCATCTCTCTGCAGAAGTACTACCAGAGAACCATTGGCATTTGTTCTTAGATAGTAATAACAAGCTCTTATTTTTATATAATTTTACAATATATAAAGAATCCATAAACATTTTATATTCGTGTAATTTTTTATAACAATGCTAAAATAAAGCAATACTACTTTTTTTAATACATAGACAGAGAGACTGAGATCCAGGTAAAGTGAATAATTGGTCTGAATCGCATACTTACTGAGAGGTCGAGCCAGAAATTAAAAGTAAGACTTCTAACTCTAAAGCCAGTCCAGTTTCTACCATAAGAGCAAATTTTTTCCTCAAAAATATATGCTTAGCTCTTCACTTTCATTTTAAGATAGAAAGGTTCTAATAAACTTTCATGGTAGATAAATTATTCCAATTTAAAAAATAAAATTATAAGCTTTATTTATAAAATACAATCTCATGGTTCTTAGTAGATATTATTGGCAGATAAAGCATTCTGCGTAAGACTATTTTTAAAGAAAAAAATGAAGCACATATGAGGCAGATTTAAGAAATGCATGAGAAAATTCCACCATATTTTAATTCCATTTTCCACATACTTTTTGAAGCCCCCTCGTATATCCAAACCAAACAGCTTTGTTGGGTTGATTCTACCTCATAATAACCCCGTAAATCCACTGGGTTTGTGAGACTAAAATTTTTACAGAAGCAAACTGCCACACCTTTTCCCACAGAGTGCCTAGTGGGTTCGAACCACTGACCTTTTGATTACTAACAAAGAGCTTAGCTACTGCACCACGAAGGCTCCTTAAGTCCAGTCTAAGAAGATTCAAATATGGGGTTTTGTAGGAATTTCTGGGACCAAACCAAAACCAAACCCGCTCCTTTCAAGTCAATGCTGACTCATAGCAACCCCCTGTGCGTTTCTGAGATGGTATCTGTTTATGGAAGTAGAAAGCCCAGGCTTTCTCCCAAGTTGCTGCCAGTGGTTTTGAACTGCCAACCATGTAGATCAAGCCCAACATATAAGCACTACACTACCACAGAAAAACCTTTTCCATGGGGGCCCAGAGTTACTGGACTTGCCAGAGAATGGAATCAGAGATAAGGCAAAGGATGGAGAGGATGATATTTGAGTTCTAACGTCCTAATTGTAGTCTATGGTTGGCCTGCAGGCAAGCCTACCCTCCAACTTTTCGGACGTATGGGCCATTGAATTGCCATTTGTGCTTCAGCCAGTTGTGTGGATTTTATTTCACCTATAACCTAAGAGTCTGTATCATGGGAAAGGAAAAATGAACTCCTATCCTCTGAGCCCTGGTGGCATAGTGGGTTACACACATTGGTCTGGTAACAACGTCAGCAGTTCTAACACACCAGCTCATCCTCAGGAGAATGATGCGCTTTTCTGCTTCTGTAAAGATTTACAGCCTTGTAACTCCATATGGACAGGTTCGCTCTGTCCATAGGGTTGCTATGAGTCAGAATGTACTTGATGATAGCGAGTTTTGCGTTTTTATCAGTTAGAGAACTAAGGTATGCTTCACCCAAGCCATGGTACATTCAATCACCTTACATATGTATGTAAAAGTTGGACAATTAATAAGGAAGACTGGATGTGTCTGAATTATGGTATTATGAAGAATACCGAAAATATTATGGACTTCCAGAAGAACAAACAAATCGATCATTCTGACTGGAAGTAGTCAGAATGGTGCTCCTTAGAAGCAAGGATGGCTAGACTTGCCTCCGGTACTTTGAACACGTTATCAGGAAAGACCAGTCCTGGTGAAGGACATCAAGCATGGCACAGTAGACAGTTGGTGAGAAAGAGGAAATGCTCAATGAGATAGACTGACCCAGTGGCTGGGTGACCTGGTGGGCTCCAACGTGACAATCAAGGTGAGGATGGTGCAGGGTGGGGCAGTCTTTTGTTCTGTTGCACAGAGGGCAGCTATTGAGTAGGAACTTACCCAGCAACACTTTAACAACAACGACAAATCACCACTTCAATGATCTCTGATGGCATGGTGTGTTAGCATTGGGCTACTAACCCCCAAATCAGCAGAAAACATTTGTAAGCCTGGAAAACCTTATAGAGCCCTTCTACTCTTACTCTCTCCCATCCCTTTGCCAAGTCAGAGTTCACTCACCAGCGCTGGGTTTGTTTTTGGCTTTGTTTATCACCCATTCAGTGCTGGGTTTGAAGATTTTTAAATAATTAATAGTGCAAATAATGTAAAACCACAGGATATCAACGTAATGTAAAATCAATCCCAAAAGATCGGAAGTATTTACTTGGTCAGTTTGTATATATCCTACAATCCAGGACATACTCCTTTTTTAAATCATTTTATCAGGAATTCTAAAAGCTCTTAACACATTCCATATATCAATTGCATCAAGTATATTTGTACATATATTACCATCATTATTTCCAGAACATTTTCTACTAGAGCCCTTGGTATAAGCTCCTCTTTTTCCCCCTCCCTCCATCCCCCACCTTCCCACCCTCGTGTATCCTTGATCAATCATATATTGTTATTTCTTATCTTACACTGTCCATTGCCTGGATATGCTCTTGCAATCTCCAGCAAAAGGCAGATGAAACAATTCAAGTAACCTATGTTTAGATTCTGAAGCACCAGCTCTACACCCAGAAAACTTTGTTGAGAAACAATCCTTAAAGAGTCTTAATATTGAGCTGCTTGGTGAAAATAAGTGTCAATTACACAATAATACTTCTACTAATAGCAAAAATCCTACATTTTCACCATAGTATTCAACATCAACAAAACCATCTGGCCTAAGTCTCGTGTTAATTAACTGCTACAAGTGGGGGTGGAGAAAGGCACAAACAAACTAAAAGACTATTTTTCCTTAAGAAGTACAATTACTTGGACAGATACAAAAACTAGTTTCAATGTATGGAGTGAATCTCAGCCAAGGACTGCATCTAATGTGTTCCTAGAACTCTATAGCAGGAATAAAGGACCTGGGACCTGAATTAAGTCTTCAATGAAACGATTTTCCATTAAATATAGTGTTAAAAGTCACAGATTTGATCCTGTTATTCATGTTTTAATTTTCACAAGGACATTTTGATATCTGGAAAGTCAGAGATGATGTATCTTGTGTTAATAAAAAAGCTTTCCCAGAGCATACTCATCAGACTGTGTGATGAAACAGAATTATTACTATGATTTTTAAATCTCTCTGATAAACAAGGAAAACAGAAGGCTTATTGACTGGCTGATCTATGTTCACCATTTCAGATTGCCGTCATTCAGCAGTGTTCAGCTCCAGGTGGTTTACAGAGACCAGGCATTATTACTATTTATCATTGATAGATGACAATCAAGAATATTTCATAGAAATGTGTAAAAGGAACACCCACATGAACATTTACCTTCCACTGCTCTTTTGAAGAAAACCTTGCAGCTGCCGCAGGTCACTACCCCATAATGGCATCCAGAGGCCTCATCCCCACACACCAAACATATTTTGGAAGGTCTTGAGGTTCCAGTAGAAACACTTCGTAAAGTAGAGCTGGGGAAAGAAACCAAGATTTAAATAATTACACTGCAATATCACAAGTGATATGCTGCACAGTTTGGCTCAAAATCTCTCAAAAACCATAGCTCCATATAGGAATTCAGTAAGTCCATATTGGACACAAAGTGTTTTACTTTGCAGAATAAAATCCTATCATGGAGGGAATGCTATCAATAATTCTGGGTAGCAAAGCTTCTCCATTCTAAGAATACTAAATAATCACATGCAAGTCCTTTATCTAGTCCTATTTTTAAGAGAGTTCACTGAAAAATTGCGTGCATTCTTGATGAACAGTAAGGAGAAAAATCCTGAGCTAAATCCTCATGTGAGTATTTTCCATCTTTCTTTTGACTGGCATTGAGGACCTATGGCAAGACATCTCACCACCTTTCCACTAGAGTCAGTGTGTATATGAGGGGTTTCAAATAGTTCATCGACAGATGGAATTAGAAGGTAATGAATTTTTCCCCACAGAGGTTTTTGAAGCCCTCTCATATTTTCATTATGCCTAATACAAACATTTTCTTTTAAGACCATGCACTAAACCTTTTTTTTTTTCAATTCTACCATTGGCAATTTTAGTCCTCCAAGAGCCTAACATATTTTCATGTTATTTTTTATACCCACTGCAATTTCATCCATTCTGGTTCATAGCAACCTTACAAGATGGAACATAAGTGCTCCTGAGGGTCCCCAAGACTGTATGTCTTTAAGGGAGCAGATGCCTGAGCTTTCTCCTGCAGAGTGGCTGGTAGGTTTGAACTGCTGCATTTATGGTGAGTGCCCCAATGCTTAGCCCACACTGCCACCAGAGCTTCTCTGTCTTATATTAGTATTGTCCAACCACTTTGTTTTGCTGACTAATTCTAGGGGACACAGTCATTACTAAGAACAAAGCAAAAGCAACAATGATAGTAAACATTCTGCTACCATAAGAAACTCAAGAATTCTGGACAATTGTTTTTAGGGCCAAATGTAACCCTTTAAGCAACACATTTTAAAATTTTAAAAAGTTTTTAAAGGGAAAGCTCAAAATATATTACATAGTATTGTATTATAGTTAATGGTGCATTCTGAACAAAATGTTTTCAACTATAATAAAGACCTTTGAGAAATGTAACAAGCCAGCTAGAAGTGGATTTCTTCATTCACCATCTACCCTTGTTGAAATATTTACCCCTGGGTATACACGGTCCTGAGGAATTAATTATTGAAAAACTAAACCGGAGCAATCAACAAGCCCAGTCTCCGTCCTCAGTTATTGAAGACATACACTACCGTGGCAAGAGATCTCATTGCCATCGAGTGGATGTGGGCTCATGGTGACCCTACTGGACAGGGTAGAACGGCCCCTGTGGGTTTCCCAGATGGTAACTCTTTATGGAAGTAGAACGCCCCATCTTTCTCCCAGTGATTGGCTGGTGAAGAGTTGAAAACTGACCTTGCAGTTAGCAGCCCAATGCATAGCCACTAAGCCACCAGGGCTCCTTTGGCAAGAGACCGGGTGTGGAATATATGTCTGCGTCCTCTAGACTTCGGCTTCCAGACTGGATTGGGTAGGAATAGGTCATGGAAAACACTTCCTAAAAGGTGACAGCTGGACTGCACTTCCAAGCATGACTGGGTCACACTTTTCAGACAAAGAAAACAGGCTGAGAAGGCAGAATGTGCAGTGGCTCAAGAAGTGTGATCTGGGCGTGTTCAGAAACTTCAGCTTTGTGGCCAGTCACCTGGCTATCATGGCTTTGTTTCTGAGTGAAGCAACATGAATTGGGCAGGGAATGGAAAAAACATTCCAAGAGAATAAAATGGCTATGTGACGATGATGATGATGCTTTCATTGTTATTCAAATGAGTTAAACTATGACAGTGTTGCAGGAATAGTTGGAAAAAAATTATTTAAAACGTTTAACTACAAGCTTGCCAACAATCAACGAAGGAACAAACTAGCCCAACTGCTCCGAGCAGTGTGGCATGACTGACTTTCTAGAAAATGACTTCTTAAATCAAGGGCGGAAACCATGTTCTCCAAAGCTGTTTCTGCGCCTGAGCAAAATGCTCTTTATTATTTTTATTAGTGCCCTTTGACTTCTTTATGGCATTCGAAACATTCCATTTCAGCACTACTAACTTCTTCAACAGTTCAGCCAGTAAAACTCAATCCATTCTCTGTCTGGCCACTCTAAGGTTTCACAAGGAAGCTTCATGGCTCTGTCACATTCAGAAGATATGGAAATAACAGTGATTTATCATTTGTCAAGGGGACACGAGGGTGGGAGTGTTGGGGAGGGAGAGAAAAAAAGGAGCTGATACCAAGGGCTCAAAGTAGAAAGAAAATGTTTTGAAAATGACGATGACAATGATGATGTACAATGTGCTCGATACAATTAATGTATGGTTGTTATGAGTTGTAAGAATCCCCGATAAATGGTTTATAGATATCTTGAAAAATCATTAAAATGCAAGTGCTTTTTTTAGAATTAGAAGCATCCAAGGATTTTAGATTTTTGCATTCTGGTATGCCTTCGTCTTTGTCCTAATACTTAAGTGCCTCTAAGGCAGTGGTTCCCAACCTGCGGGTCGTGACCCCTTTCAGAGGGATCTCCTAAGACCACCAGAAAACACACATATTTCCGATGGTCTTAGGAACCAAGACACCACTCCTCTATCCGTTTCCAGGCTGGTCCACCCACATGCAGATACACCCACCTATGAGTACCTGGCATGAAGACTGTTACCCATGCTACACCATACTTCAAGATAAAATTTATTGATTTGTCATTAGAAATAAATATCTCACAATATAATTACATATTGTTCTCTGATTCATCACAATGCTCTAAAGTGATGTTCAATTTTTAACAATGAAAATACATCCTGTATATCAGATTCATGACGATTCATAACTAGCAAAGTTTCAGTTATGAAGTAGCAATGAAAATAACGTTTTGGTTGGGGGTCACCACAACATGAGGAACTGTATGAAAGGGTGGCGGCATGAGAAAGGTTGAGAACCACTGCCCTAAGGTCTAGGAACTCTTTTTCAATCTAAATGCCTGTCCTCAGTGACCATCTGGCTTCTTGGTTTTAAATGTCATCAAGAAGCTGGGAGTTTCCACATGTTTAGCTCCAGTCTGGTCCTTGTCCTGAAATTTCAGACCCATATTTCCAATTGCCTTCTTGACATCTCTACTTGGGTGTCAGCTTTGCCCCTCAAACTCACTGTCTGAAACTCTGCTGGTCTCCCCCACCTTCAAACGTGTTCCTCCTCCCTCATTCTTCCTCCTCTATGTGCATTGCAAGTCTTGGCTTCCAGGTGCTAGGGAGAAAAACTTGGGACTCATCCCCAAATCCTCTCTTTAACACTCTACATTCAATCTGCTAAATTCTACTTCCTTTGTCCTTGGACTACATTAGCATCCCCATCACATCCCATGCCTCCCCAGGGGGACTACTTTAGCCCAAGCTGTCAACTTCTCAACTGGGTTTTTGTAAAAGCCTCTTAACTGGCCTCCTTGTATCCCTTTGCCCAGTCCTTCTCCCTGGAGCCCCAATAATCCTTTCCTCCTTCTTGTAGTTTTCCCTCTCAGCCAGTCTAAATGCCGAAACGAGTTGCTTTCCAGTGGATGCTGACTCAGAAGGCCCCCACAGGTGTCAGGCTAGTGTTTTCAATGGCTGGTGTGTCTGTAGTTAGACAGGCCTTTCTTCCAAGGAGCCTCTGATCCACCCAGTCCACATGTTGTCACTCGTGGTTTGTAGCCAAGCACATCAACCATTTACATCACACTGGGGCTATATCCATATGCTCACAGGACCCCAATCTGGTTACTTCTAGTTCATTACTATCGCTTACGTACTCCCCTTCAGCAGCCCTCAAGTCCACAACGAGCACACCCACCTCTGGTACTGCTGCCCCATCTGTTTAGAACGTTCTGCACGTAGGTCTCTGCACATAGCTCCCCACACCCCAAACCCCTTTTTAGGTCTTTTCTCAAAAACTACTTTCTCAGTTAGGTCTTCCCTGACTACCCTATTCAAAATGGCAATACCACAAATTTCCCTTTTCTGCCTGTGCATGTGTGTGCATGTGTGTGTGTGTGACCTTGGTAGCATAGTAGGTTCTATGTTGGGCAGCATCCTTCAAAACTACCAGTCGCTCCTTGGAAGAAAGATGAGGCTTCCTGCTTCCATAATGAATTACAGTCTTGGAAACCCACAGCAAGGTCACTACCTTTGAGTCAATTCTCGCTCACAGTGACCCTCCAGGACAGGAGGGTTCTTTAAGAGCCCACGGTGAACCCCACACCTAGTCGACTACTCCTCTGCCCGACCTGCTCAGCATTTTGTCGCTGGGCTGCTTTAGCATGGGCGATCTGCGCACTTCTCCTGATGCCCTGACAGCAAAGGCGTTGTGCATCACGCCTATTCCTTTCCCTCGGCACTGCGGTGAACAATGTACCAAATGAATACAATCACACTTAATCTCATTACAAACCCCAAACCAAAAGACCGAACGCACTGTGTCCAGCGGATCCTGACTCACAGCCACTCTACAGGGTTTCCGAGGCTACAACCCTTTCCTGGAGCAGCTTGCCTTGCCATTCCCCGCAGCTCCAGGGTGTGGCTGAGCTGACAGCCTTGAAGTTAGTTAGCAGGCCGACACCTGCCCAACACAAATTTGCAAAAAAGGTGAATTTTACTGAAGGGAACATGAATGAGGCCATGGTTTTAATTAAGTTCAATTCCCATGTGGAATTGCACAAAAGTGTTGGTGTTGATTGAGGGGGAGGCTCGGGCCTATTGTCCAAAGTTCAGCCAACTATCTCACAATTATCGGTATTATTAACACAAGTGTGAATAGATTATCTCTGCCAATATCCCATCATGTGGTTATCTTTGAAATGGAAAGAAATGTGTGTCCAGTTTTAAGAAATGCTTTCGGTCATTCAAAAGGAGACAGAGGAGGACACTGGTGTCATCAAAATACAAAACCT